CAATGTAATCTTTATACAGATGTTTAAGCAAACATGAACATTCAAACGCAAGTCTTTTCATTGAAAATATTGATTTTTTTGCCTGAAAAAAGTTTACGAAAAAAAATTTAACTTATATACATCATCATCACTCTAAAAAAGTGATTTACAATATTACATCTCGGATATTACAAATTCCACATTGTGACAAAGACTAAAGCCTAACTTATTTCAGGTAACGATTTTTTATGAATACTGAATTTCATTTCATGATACAATTAATTAATATAGTAACGTGTCTAATTTATTTTAGCAATTGCAATCAAGTCGAGTATATTAAAATACTAAATGAATTTTCAAGTTGATTTAGAAGAATTTAAGTCTTGTTTAAAAGTATAGCAATTTGCATTGGTCCTTACAATTCAAGTTGTTGTCTAAATTTATTATAGGCCTAACTAAAAAGTCATACTAGAATATATTTACAAGGTCTTTTAGTTAGGTCAAACATATAATTGATAAGGTTGAGGGACAATATAATTTTAGGATTATTGGATATATCCAAGTAGGAGATGTCATCGACAAAGCCAAATTAAAGCGAAGGATCGATAGATTTTTTGGCTGACAAGCTTCATACTCTTTTTCTCTGTTTCAATCTATGTGATATTTTTCATTTTTTTAGAGTCAAAAGTTTGAGTTTGACCGAGAATTTGCACATGAAATCTTCAATTCTTTTGAAATAAAATTTATATATTTGTAAACCACGTAAAAAGTAGTATAAATCATAATAATTGATAACTATGAAAAATTTACTGTCAAAGATAGACTTGTTTGAATCTCAAAATTCTAAAAGTGTCACAAACACAAACGGAGGGAATATATGTTTTATGGTTTGATAATGGCATATATAACTTGAGAAATTGAATTTTGTGAGATTTGTTTGATCAAAACAGAAACTACGCATTATATGGTTGGATTCGTGATGGTGTGACACAAACCTGATATGTAGAGATAGACAAGAAGTATTCGACATACTCTCATCTATTAATCAAAAAAACATTTATGTACATATATATTTCTATTGATAGTACAAGTATAATAATACATTGCGTTCACAGAATTTTGAACTTTATGTCACTCTTAGATTAGCTTAGCTTCTTGATTATGTAAGTTTATTATTATTAACATAAAATTCAATTATAAGTTAAAGACTAGTTCAACTATTTACAAAGTCAAGTAAATTTTTTATATAGAGAAACTGTAGATAAGTAGTACCAAAGTATGTGTGCATTTAATAAGTTCTAGGTCAAAGAATTTAAATCGGACCAGTATGTATTATATTAAATTTTACAAGGCAAGTTATTAGAAAATAAAATAATTAAGTTGGTCTAAATAGGCATTTGATTATGAGATCATTTATATATAATTAGTAAAGTAAATTCTTTCATGTTTCCTTCTCTTTATGAAGACCTTTAAAAATTGATACCCATGAATATCTAGCAAATTATTAATCTAACGCGTTTTCCAGTTGAATTCCCTTTTTTCCCAAAAGCAATATTATATGATGTTTTAAAGATAATCTGAGAAAATCACTTGGACATAAAGTGTTCAATACCTTTTTAAAGAATTGTCTTTGAAAAAAACGAAAGATCGTTAGATGATTTATACTAATGATGATAGTCAATAATATTCTCCGAGCTCATCTAGCTGGTGGATTCTCTCTTATATCAAAGTGTTGATGACTCTGAATAATCGTGGAAAAAGGTTGGTGGTGTGAATTGGCATGCCACATGGTTAAAATAGATGAGGTTAACAAAAAAATGACAAAAATTGTAGTCATTTATATGACGATAGACACATATATATTGGGGAAAATTGTATATAATAGCAAACTAATAACTTAAAATATATGGAATAGCTAGGATTTGATTTAATTGTGCTTCATAGCAAATGTTAGCTAAAATTTGCCAGCATCTCTCTCCCAGAAATCTCGATCGCCACTCTCCATTCTCGCTCACCTCTCTCGCTTTATACACAGAAGTGTATAATTCTGTTTCTGTTTTGTATAAAGCGAGAGAAAATTATATATACACATGCAAAAATATATATCTTCTTGTTATGCACTTAATTATACAATTTACAAACATTTTACTTCAAAAATATTGCAGAGAAAAAGGTCAACGAATTATACAATTGCAGTGAAATACAATTTTCTCTAGCTTTATACAACAGAAGTGTATATATTGTGTTTCTGTTTTTATATAAAGCGAGACAAAAATATATATCTTCTTGCTATACACTTTATATTGCAGCGAAATAGGTAGTGAATTATACAATTGTGCATTATACAATTGCAGTAAAATAGGATAGCGAATTATACAATTACAGCGAAATAGGCCAACGAATTATACACTTGTATATGTATAGCGAATTATACAGTTTTATATTTGCTATAAAACGCAATTATGTAAAATTTACTATAGTATACAAATATAAATTTTTTATTTGCTATATGTGAAAGTTATCTTTTATATTACTATATAAGAAATGTGAATAGCAAGCAGCGCTCCGTCAACATGCTTGCTTATTCACATTTCAAACAGAAATGACCCACTTCTATTAATCTGCATTGTATTGCACAAAATGGGCCCACTATTATTACTTTTTAATTGTATTAGTATTGCTTACACAATTACACAAAAGTGGACCCACCCTATTACTTTTTAATTGTATTACTACTGCTTATACATATATTTACATGGCAAAAATAATTGGACTTCCTTCCAATTTCTTCCAACTGTTAATTTTAAATGTTATATGCCTCTTAAATTCTAATTAATTTGCCTTCCAATTTCTTCCATTTATTAATTTTTAAATGGTATATGCCTCTTAAATTCTAATGAATATAATTATTTTACCACAATATTTATATTAATTGACATATACTTAAATAATTTAAAATAATTAATTAATGTTGAAGATAAAATACAAAAAATTAAAAAAACCTTGCTATACTAACTATGTAATTTTTAAATAAATATTAATTATGAAAATTTAACTATTTTAATGTCAATTATTTATATTTTAATTATTCCATCTTCTATCTTACATAAAATAATATATAATATTTTATAATTAATACATACATTGATAATGCTTGTTTTTGAATTTACATTATCAAAAAATTCATACTAAATAAGAACTTAATACTTCAAATGTAGCAAGTATCCCTATGATTTCAATTTAAATTTTTAATTTAATTATCCATATTCTATCATATTTTATTATTACTAACTAAGAAATAAATTTGTTTATTAATTATCGACCTTTTTATTCATAAATTTTCTTTGATTTCTAATGTTAATATTAATATTAAGAAAAAACAAATATTATTATATTTTAAAAATTGAAAAATATCAC